GATATGACTCCTACTTGTAGGGGGCGCCACCTCCACCTTTTTTAACTGTTTTGAAGAGTAATAACTTTTCGTCCGTCTCTGTATTACACTACTAAGTAAAAAAATATACATCTCCGTAATTTTCCAAGTAAAAAATGTCCCTCGGTAAAAATCGCTACGAGCAACCGTTTTCAAGGTATTAGGAATGGAAATAATCAAAATATGCCATTATCGACAAAAAATAAGCAATGTTGTCTAAATAGTTATTTGACTGAAATAATTAATTTGGAATATTTTTAATTTTTTAAGCTAAACATGAATTTCTCTAGGAAAAAATACGATTAAACAGCTCCTGTTGAATCTTTGGCACAAAAATATTTCAAATTTATTATTTAAGACTAGGTACTAACGATCTAGTCAACATGCACAATTTTTGTCAATAATGACATGTATTGACTATTTCCATTCCAAATATCTTGAAAACGGTTGCTCCTAGCGATTTTTACAAAGAGACATTTTTTACACAAAAAATTACCTAAATGAATATTTTTATAAGCAGTAGTTTTATACAGGTATGGACGAAAAGTTATTACTTTTCAAACCAGTTAAGGAACCTGTAGGCTGTAGGTAGCACGGTAGCACCCCTACAAGTAGGAGTCATATTGCCATCGAAATCCAAATTTCTCATGTCAAAAAACTACCAGACACCAATTTTTATCCAAATATTCACGTTGCTTCAGAAATTATTTGGAAAAAAATCGAAATAAAAATGTAACTTCTACACCCTGTATCTCCGAAACTAAGCATTTTTGGACATACATTTATAAGAACTTTTTTACTTATTTTTATCTCCATAATATGCTGCCGAAGTTTCCGAAATACAACTTGGACAACTACCCTGTATATACAGGGTGATCAATTTTTGAAGCAACGTCAATATTTGGGTAAAAATTGGTGTCTGGTTTGGTTTTGACATGAGAAATTTGATTTTATTTCGGACCATAAACCCAAGAAATAATCCTAAAAAAAACAAAAAAACACAATTTATAGAGAGATTAAAAAGGAAACTACACCATTTAAAAATCTTTTTTACTTGATATAAAAATAAATTACAACATGCTTAAAGCCAACTAGTGCCATTAAAAAATAAAGAGCTACGAACCAAGTAATGACGTATAGCCTAAATTATCATCGATTGTCATTCTCCAGCCGTCTTTGACGGTGTTTTTTTTTCATCTTTTTATAAATATCTTCAAATTACGCCCATGACGTTAAAAAAGATTAAATTAGATAAGTTTGTGGCCAAATCAAACACAAAAATAAACTGTTTGTTGTCATTTTGCTTCTAAAAAAAAAGAAACAGCGTCAGAGCTGTCATGAAAGTGAAGATAGGTGTCATTTTATATGTAAAATTACACCTGGAATGATATCGATGGTTATTTTCATGCCAACTGGACGCCATTTTTGTTTCAATCACACGATACATAACATGTAGGTTAAAAAATATATGGTTAATCTTCTTTTATTTGTATATTCTAGAAATAGAAACATCTTTATCAAAGTGTGGAATTTGCTGCAACTGATACAGTGTAACATTAGCTGTGCTAAATTCATAGCATAATCTTGATTGTGTCTAAAGCCTCCGATCGCATTAAAAGATTATTAAATTAAACTTCCTAGTTCGCATAACGGTAAAACATGTCGACTAATATGATAAATATTGCCCATTTTAGCAGGTGAAAATCTTGGACAGATTAATGTCACAAATGGCGATTTATACCTGTCCCAGTCTGCTCGATCTTTTACATTTCAAATGAGTCATAACTCATAAATATATATAGGATGGTCTAAAATGCGGAGACTAAACCTGAAAAGCTTCGTCTTATATAATATATATATATATATATATATATATATATATATATATATATATATATATATATATATATATATATATATATATATATATATATCTTTGATAATTTAAAAAGCTGTAATAAATACAGGGTGAGTTTCCAACGATGTTCTCTATGGGTATCTCGGAAACTACTGGAGATAGAGAGTCGGTTAAATGGGGAAAGAATTGCAGTTTTGTGGGGTCATAAGTATGCGCCTTTCAGATTTTTGAAAAAAGGTCATGGCTTACTAGATATATGAAAAAAAAAAACAAGTTTTGGCTATTTTAAAAATTGTCCGTAATTCCATTATAATCTATTTTAGACAAAAAGTTTTCAGATAAAAGTTGTAGATAATCACATCCCTAATGAGTTTGTGTGTTCTCCGATTTTTTCTAAAGCCCGTCATTTTTGACATATGACACAAACATATGTTTTTTTTTTAAATGGAAAGCATAGTTGGCCATGACGTCATGCGGTGTTCTTATTTTGTTATGATTTATAACTTATAAAAAGACAAAATATATTATTAAATGACTCTTTACAATTTACATTGCACAAACTAAAACTTAAAAAAATAATATCACTACATACACTTTAAGTTATTTTAGAAAATGTTCAGAAAAATCGTCATTGTTTTGAGTACATAAATGCATCTTTTTAAAACTGAATTTCTAGCTATTTTCACAGACTGATCAGTTGACTTAATTAAACTTCTCCTATATCGTCTCTTCGAGTGCCTCTCTTAATTCATAAGTTGTTTTGTAAACCTTGTTGTTAACCATACCGCATAAAAAAAGTAAAATGGATAGGTCAGGTGATCGAGGAGGCCCATGCAATTAGCACCCCTCTTTCTATCCCTGAGTCTACATAATTATGATATAATTTTTTTTTAACATTTCTTTCATTGTGGGGTTGGTTTGGTTGTGTCATAATAAAAGGCATGTTGGAACCACTCTATTAATGCGCGAGTATCTATATTTAACTTTTCTAACATGTCTTGAAAACCGTTCTATAAAAAGCGTAAGTAACGTTCACCGGTTAACGTATCCTCGAAACTGTATGACCAGGAAAAGTTGAAGTAATAATCCTACACGCTTTTCTTCATTTGAAAAATTCATATTTACAATTTTTGTTTATTTTAATTTACAAAGTTTGGATGTGACAGTTTCACATTTCTGAGAGCAACGACAATTGAACTGTTTTCCATGGCTAACAGTGGAACTAGTTAAGAAAGATAATAACTGGCTATAACTCAGTAATTTTGTCAAAAAAAAACATATTATAACTTATCTTGCTGAAAAGTTTAAAAAATGGCCCTTTTTATGAAGTCATAGCTAACTATTGTTTCCATTTAAAAAAACATGTTTGTGTAATATGTCAAAAATGACAGGCTTTAGAAAAAATCGGAGAACACAAACTCATTAGGGATGTGATTATCTACAACTTTTATCTGAAAACTTTTTGTCTAAAATAGATTATAATGGAATAAAGGACAATTTTTAAAATAGCCAAAATTTGATTTTTTCCAAATATCTAGTAAGCCATGAACTTTTTCAAAAATCTGAAAGGCGCATATTTATGACCCCGCAAAACTGCAATTCTTTCCCCCATTTAACCGACTCTCTATCTCCAGTAGTTTCCGAGATACCCATAGAGAACGTCGTAGGAAACAGATCCTGTATATAGTCAGTTATTCCTAATATTTTCACAAAACATAATTTCTACATTCTTCAAATAGTGCATTTTATAAGGATGCAAACATTTTAGGCTATAACGTTAAATCTGAAAATGTGCTCTGGTATTTTCATCCAAACTGGTATACTTAGCACTATGAAATTTGAGATACTCTGTATACTCGTATTCTTTGAAGAATGCGTTTCTCTTTTTTTTTTGTTAGATCAAAGACGTAACAGATTTTTTACAACTGTTTTCTTTTAGATGGACAGATACGTATGTTTATTGGCGATGATAGATTATCTATCTGCTGATGAATAACTCCTATTGTTTTAAAATAATCAATAACAAAACAAATATAAATTATATACGGCAATGAATTATTGAGAAAGCTAATGTTAAAAAAAGTATTTCCAACTTTAGATTTTGATGATTGCTACTATAACAAAGTTTGGCTATATGGTTTCATTTGTTAGACACCTCATCTACTTAAATCACTTAAATTTAGAAAATACCGGTTGATTTATTTATTAACTTTATTAACTAAAATAATGTATTGATTTATTTATTAACTAATAATTTATATACTTTTTAGACTAAACAAAATCCAAGTAAGAAAATGAACAACATATGCTTTTAGACAGTGACATACATTCTAAATGACACCAACGCGATATAGAAGGTCTTACTAATTAGTGAATTCCTAAGTAAAATACTCTTAAGTACTTTTCTTTAATTCTTTAACTATAATATATAGGTTAATTCATTTCTAATGAGAATCACAAGAAACAATAAATATATTCTTATTCATCAGACATTTAGAAGCTGTTGGGTAAACAACAGATGAAAGAACTTGAATGAATGGATATAATATCTACATTACGATTATTATTTTAATGTCACCTACGCAATGTTTATAAATAAACCATAGTCTCATAAGGCTATTATCGATATTTATAGTAATTTACTTCATGTTCTTTAATTATTATTACGATAGAAAAAGTAACAAAATAATAAGCAAATAATCAGAATTAAATAAGATAATTTTTAAAATGGCTGTACTTAAACTGCCGTTAAACGGTAGCCTACTGAAATGCCGTTAATAGGTATGACGTCGTTGATGTGACGCACTTGACGGCTTTTTAATGCTTTGGTTAAAATGCCGTCGAACGGTCGCGTACTAAAATGCCGTTAATCCTTAATGCAGAGTAGGCCTCTGATTAATACTTAATAATTTGTAATGTAATGTTGTCCAAAATCCGTCATGGCTTATTCTGAATAAAATTAACTTGGAACGGTGTATATGTAGGTAGACGTATATGTTGCCGTTGTAGGTTTGAAAATGTATTTGCGATAAAATGTAATATATGGCATTGGTTTTCAGGTTTTTATTGCAAATTATAAACTGACAACTTAAAATAATACTACGTCAACTTAAAAATAATAATGCTACAGATAGCATTCTCTGCAAAACCACAGTTTTGATTTAAGTCGCATAGTCAATCCTGCACAACGGATATGTCTCCATAGAAGGCATCTACTGCAACAAAGTGACATATGATTTTTCTGCGTGTCTTCACTGCACACAGAACAAAACCAACTTTGTTGAAGTCGTTTCTGCTCAACTAGATTGGTTATTTTTTCGAAGGCTTTCTCCGTGCAAAAACTTCTAAAAATCGTAATTTACATTATTCGTTATTAATTTGGTAATTATTAGGTATCGCTAGACTTACCTTATCATGTGGATATCAACAGCCTCATCAAGAACGGCATGTGATATTTCTTCGGGGAGCATTTTAAGGTCTACAGTTTCAAGAAATTTCCCATTTGTGATGTCTCTAACGATGTTACGATCCTTAACGAAGCAATTCAGGATTACATTTTGTTTTTCATGATAGGATTGTTTAGCAAATGCTACAGTACATCTTTTCTTTTTCTTTGGTAGTCCTATGACTGTTAAGTCCTGTCCTTTTGGACGTCCTCGTTTTTTTATTGAAACAGGCATCTTAATTGTTGTCAAAGCGAAATCATTGACTTCAACTATTTGATGGGACTGGTTGTTGACGTCATTTAAAACTGAATCACTAATATAGGAAAGTTGATGCGCTTCATCTCGTCATTTCCTCCTCTATAACCAGCTCGTTACAAAACTCAGGTGCTTCCACAGGTGACTAACCAAGAGTTGATGTATTTCTATTATCTAATATGAGCGCTTCACTCATATTGTTTCTGTCTTGAAGGTCCGTCTCGTCACAAACCTCAGAGTGTTCCACAGAAGACTGATTTTTTACTTTCAAATACAACTGCATCATCATAAATTATATGTAGCATCTACAGCAAGAAATTCTGGAAAAGCCTTCATTGTACTTTTCATGGTTGGACTTTGAATGAAAAGTCCTCTGAAATTATTGTCTTCGTCTCGCAAAACAGCTACATTGGCACCTCAAACTGAGTAGTTATTGGGACTAATAAGACGATAATAGAATATTTTAGTTTACCGTATTTAGCTTTAAGTATATTTAAGCAGCCATCTAAGTTTTCTTTTCTTGATTGATCGGATATCTTCATATTTGTTAAATCTTGTAAAGTAACAATTTTACCAGTACTTTCTTCAACTTTTTGCTGTATCATTTTTCTATTGGCCTTCATATTCAAATAATCCTTGACGCTTTCCTTCATGTTACTGGAAAGTTTTCTTTGGCTAGGGTTACGTGCATGTTGAACCTACAAAATATATCTTTTATGAATAAAATACTGTTCAAGCAAGAATTCTAAAAGCATACTATATGTCAACTAATCTGTAAATTTACCTTCGAAGTGACATGATTGTGCTTCATTTGAACCGATGTTACCTCGAGTGCTTTTCCATCAGACGATGCTTTGAATCTTACATGTACTGAGCAATCTTCTTTAAATGTCAAAGACTGTCGAATTTTTTTCCCACTGCCCTTAAACTTCTTTCTACCGGGATTACATGCATATAGAAGTTGATAATAAATCAAAGAGATTTTTTCTCTCACAATTTTACTGCTCGCAATCGTACGGGCATCTCGTTTCCAAAATGTTGTGTACGTATTTTCACCAAGTTCCTCAATCGCTTTCTTTGCGTCAGCGAATGAGCTGAACCTATCCCCAATTTTCAGCATGCTAATTTCAATCATGAAAAATAATTAGGTACCTAACTAACCTAAAAATGTTTATAGATAAATTAACAATCAGATAACTAACTGAAACACTTACTCCATCCTGAACCGATAATATCCAGATGTACACCTTAATTAAAATCAACTTATAGCACTTAGCACAAATTGTTACTACAATAATACGTAGGCGACGAAAAAAACATACCAAAAGGGCAACGGAAAATGAAACACAAATTGATTAACCGCATTTTAGTACGCGACCGTTCGACGGCATTTTAACCAAAGCATTAAAAAGGCATCAAGTGCGTCACATCAACGACGTCATATCTATTAACGTCATTTCAGTAGGCTACCGTTTAACGGCAGTTTAAGTACAGCGTTTTAAAATTAGTTACTGGCAGGGGTGGATGGGCCATATGGGAAAACGGAAAAATTCCCGGTGGGCCGCGCCGGTGGGAAGATGGGCCGGTGGGCCGGTTCCGATCAGAGCTCAAAAAAAAGATTGGATTAGCAAAAATTAAATGGTTAATCTTCTAATTAAAGTGATGTAAGATTCTTAGTGACTCCATAACTAACTAATCAATTTGCATCAGTATAATTGTCAGTTGATTTTAAACATAAACACCAATTTGTAAAATAACTATTATAAGATGTCTCTGAGACACTTATAATTTTAATAAACATCTGCTGTTTGATCGGTTTGAAGATTTATATTATACAAGGTTAGTCTATAAGTGTAAATATTTGCAGGGCTGGTAGATCTCATTAAAAGAAACATAATTTATTCTTTTTACCGTGTTTCAAATAAGTCCAACCGAGTTATTAAAGTTTGAAAATTAAAAAAAAAAAATATTTTTAAAAAAAATTGAGCCACCTAAATTTTTCTGTATTTGCATCTCTTTTAGTGCCGTAATATCAGAGATTAAGAAACTATACCGTGGGAAAATTTGCGGTGAACAGGAAGTTCTAGAAAGTTTTTTAAAATATACAGGAAAATTTTAAAAGAAAATGCACGATTTTTAACATCTTCTTTGCAAAAAAACCCTCACAAATCCTTATGACGTGTTCTTGGGGTCGAAATATACCACCCCCGAAAATATTTGTACTTATTTAAGACTCACCCTGTATAGTTTTACCACTAAGTATTCTTTTTATTAATAACTAATAAAATATGACTGATTGGCAGCAGAAAAAAGAATGAATAGCATTAGGTAAATTTAAATAGTTTCGATCTAAGTGTATATAAGAATACGGTAGCGTAGATTGACAACTGGGGGCCTCGGTGCAATATTTTTCGAGCTCACCTTTGTAAAAAGGTAGACGAATTTGACGCGAAATCTGCGGTTGACGGAGAAAACATGAAGATGGCTATCTCTATGCTTGGTTTGAATTGGGGACGGACTAAAAGCCAAGTCTGAGAACTAAAGCCAAGTCTAAATTGTTGTTTAAAATGTTGCTAAAATTAATTTACTAAAAATTACTGACACAGCAGAGAAGAGTTAAATAAGGTTTAAACTAGATTAGATAATAAAATATTAATATGTCTCGAAATATTCTTATTATGGACTGTAACATAGCATTTACCTCAGAACACATTTATATCCACTGCTGCATGTGCCTACACCTAAAAAACCTAGGCAATACCTAACTGCCTAGGTATTGCCCAGATTTTTTTTTGTTTGAGACATCGCATTATCATACAAGATGCGAAATGTACAAAAGTATAGAGGAAAAGTGATAAGAACTATATAATAACCTAAAAAATGCAGCAGTTTTAATTTTAATGGCGACCGCGGTTCATTCAGTTAAAAACACCTGTGCACGACGAGGCTTCCGCTCTACCAGAAAAGAGAGCATTTATTTCTACAATGTGTAAGATAGTATATACCTGAAAAGCTACAAACAATGTATTTTACTGAGGATTGGACCAGCTGAGCTGAATGAATCAGGAAGTCTTAAAGTTTCTCAAAATCGTAGTCTATTCAAGATCAAATTACTGTTATCGATAATGGAAATAAAGCAGTAGAATCCTGTAAAACTGAGCCATTTTGTAGTAAAAATTTAGATGTCCGACCCAATATTGATCTTTTTGAAAATTTTGATCAAGAAAATTTCAATTTTTTTAAAAAACCGAAGGCAAAAGAGCTTTTTTCGTCCGAGCGAAACACTCCCTTCTCCCTTACTTATATACTAATAAATAAAATATGTTTCTTCGTTATGATCATTTTGTTTTTGTGGATTTGGGCCGGTTGCCTGTTATTCCCGGGCCGGTTTCCACTTCCCCATCCACCCCTGGTCACTGGATGTTTTAAATTATGTATTTTAGAAATCACTACCTATAGAAGTAGTTCACCTATACAATTATATTTTATTTGTCGTACCTAGTTAAATCGACAACAATTTTAAGCATTAATGAATTCAAGCATAAAAAGATGGCTATACAGGTAGAGTAATTTATTGCCACATGTTTACGATATTTGTAATTGAAAATATCTCCTCGGTGTCAATGAATAGTTCATTGGGATTAGATATTTTAACACTTTCACTCTGTTTAGTTTTGAAGAGTCATTTTCTTTAAGAGAGTTTTTTCAAAATAAGGTTTCAGGTATTTAAATTATACGGTAACTACATTAGAAATCGTCTTCTACAAAAACAATTCTAAATATCCGCGCACACAATAAAGCTTAATAACGGTTTAATTCATTGTTTTTAGGTACTGCTTAGTAGCTTCAATTCAAATTCAAGTTAATTTAAAATTATTAGGGTTTATTGTTCCTGTCTTTTGATCTCTGCTCATGTTACCCTATACCTATCCTAGTATTGAGACCAGATTAAGACAAATCTATCGACACCTTACATGTTAAAAACCATCGAGCAATCAGTGCCGAAGAAATTTACATACATTTATAGAATCGAAAAGCAGCAAGATAAATATAATTTAGACTATTCCAAATTTGCATCAGTATTCGATATTTGTAACATGAAGACCCTACACCCGTTATTCGTAAAAAAATGTACAGGGTTGCTTTTATCAAAACTTTTATGTATGGAAACTGTCGATTATTAGGTAAATATAGGAGGTACCGCAAAAAGTTAAATATAAAAGTTATAGGATTTATAAATATCTATTAGCGGGAAATAAATTTAAGTATACAGGGTCGGTCATAAAGCCGTGGCACATCAAAGTTACATTTTTTTTAAATGGCAGTTTTTACCGCACATCAATATCTGTTACCGTTTCGGAGTTACGGGGTGTTTTTCAAAAATGTGCATTTTTAATAAATCGCTGTATGTTTTTTGCTATGGAAAATTTTGTATTTCTGTGAAAACATCTCTAAAGCACCTTTTTACGTAGAATTTAATGGTTTAAGTATATTTTTTTTTAAATTAATAATTTAAGAGTTATCAACAGAAAAATTGATTTTTTATTTGGGACACCCTCTATATTTTTAATTAACTGAAAACAATTTAAAATTACCTTTCCAAAAATATAACACACTTGATATTTTGTTATAATCCCCTTCGAAATACAGAATTTTTAAAAGTTTGTCACTTTTAACTAGTAGGCTTTGGACCTCTTATTGATGATATGCCCGTAATGGAACTCGAAAACATATTTTTCCAGCAAGACGACGCACCACCTTAGAACGCTGTTATCAGCAAATTTTTGCAGTCAATTTCAAGAATAATTGAATAGCTAGCCAAGATCCCAGCCGCTGGCCGTCGAGGCCGCCTGACTTAGTGCCCATGGATCTAATCCTATGGATATATTTGCGGAAAAATAAAGGTGCCTTATTCTTCCGTATAATCTAGACAAGAATTAGAAATACTTAGCAGTTATGAGAGGGTATCTTTCATCCCCACTGAGGTAATGAATTTCGCGAAAAATGTTCAAAAATGGCCCCGTCTGTCCATAACAGAGGGCGGTCGATATGTCGAACACCTGTAGCAGCGATTTGTTAAAAATGCATATTTTTGAAAAACACCCCGTAACTCCGAAACGGTAACAGATATCGATATGTGGTTTTCACCATCATGTTTTTGACAAAAATTGAGCTCCAGACACCGATATTAGTTTTTGTCTATCTCCTATAGAAAAGGGTGTTTCCATATAAAAGCGTCGAATTTGACCCACCCTGTACATGAGAGTTTGCTGCACTAGTTTAACTAAATTAATTTGTACAGTTGATTTAATTTCTTTTTTTTTATTCTTTCAGAAACTTTACCTCAACCTACCTCGTCTGACCTACCATCTTTAACCATCCATCCACAACCACTATGATCCAAAGTAGCTACAAGGCCATGTACAGGCCGAACTTCTACGAGAGCACCTGTCTGCGTTGCAACGAAACAGTGTATCAAGTTGACAGAGTGGGCCCCCTAAAAGACTTCACCTTCTTCCATAGTGGATGTTTCAAATGCGCTGTATGCGGCACCAAGCTCACCCTAAAGACTTATTATAATAACCAGCACAGGCAGGAAGACAAAGAAGTGTACTGTAGTGGACACGTACCTAAAATTGGACCTGGACATTTAGATGGGTCTTCGGTGGTTATTCGGAGTGCTTTGAATGTGCCCAAGTCGACGAATTTTGTGAACGAGCAGATCAGAGGACCAGGAAGAAGCAGTTTTGAAAGCGATGGTAAGGTCGCAAAACATAATCAACCTACAAAAATCTTTATTTCCTTTATGTTTCAATATTTGTTTATTTATTGAAGCTGAAAAATCCCCTTTATATCTTATAATAGGCGGAAATGACGATCGATGACATTTTCCATATAATTTTACATATAAAATGACAGCGATTTTCATTTCATAGATCGCTGACGCCGTTTTTTTTTCGATCATATTGTATCTTTGGATAAAAAGATTAAGGAAGAAGCATATCAAAAAACTTAAGTCGAGCACGATGGGGATCTAAAATGGCCGACTTAAGTTCTGGTTTATCAGTGCCGTTCTAATTTTGTTCAAAGCGTGTAGAAATATAATGTAGGGTAGACTAAATAAAACTCAATAATTTGTTGTCTTATTTTAAGTTGCCAATAAATGTTGGTAGGTATTAAAATTGTTATAAAAATATATAATTCTAATGAAAATAGATAAGTAGTAAATAAAAGCAAAAATGCAAGAAAAAATATATAACTAGATAATTTTAAGTGCATTTCATAAATGATCGGTTTACTACACGTATGTATATTATACAGGGTGTTTCAAAAAACATGTGCCATCTCTTGTGGGGAGATTCCTCACGTAAAATAAGATTTATTTTTCATATCAACATAGATCCGATTCTGCTTTGTATCATAGCTAGGTGTTAGTCTTAATATTTTTTGGATTTATTATAATTTTCTTCCAAGTACTTTCAGCGATTCGAATGAATTTTTAAGGGTAAAAGTTACTATAAATGCGACATATTTTTACGCTAAAAAAGTGTCAACATATGCACCAGGGACGTGCATATGGGTTATCTATGCAATATTTTTCTAAAAAAGCATGTACGCCACTGACTTTTTTTTCTCTTGTTGGCGAAATAGTGTAAGCCGTTTGACCGATTAAAAGTTGTCTCTTGATATTTTGTCTATTTCGGCTTCCCTAATGAGATAAACGCAATTTTATTAATTTACCTTGATCCAAATCTAAAAGCAACCTTTAAAAAAAATTATTATCATTAACTTGCAAAAGTTTTTAATATAGATATAGAAATTCATTGATATCTGATCAAAAAATATGAGAAAAAGTTCCTATAAACATGAGTATGGAAATGCATTTTTTTAGAGTTACAGGATGTTAAAACTTTTTAAAATTAGGTTTTTTGTAATTATCTTAAATAACATTATTTTTTACTTGAAATTGCTGTGTTGGACTAATAGTAATAATAACTAACAGTAATAATATTTAATAATAATATATTAGGTAAAATATGTAATTTATTAATTTTATTTTAATTTTAATTTTATTAATTGTGATAATAAAATTGCGTTTATCTCATCGAGGAGGCCGAATTGGGCAAAATATCAAGAGATAACTTTTAATTGGCATCAAACGGCCTGCATAATTTTGATATCAAAAGAAAAAAAGTGAGTGGTACACATGTTTTTTTTTTAAATATCCCAGTGATAACCCATATGCACGTCCCTGATGTATTTATTGACACTTTTTAAGCATTAAAATATGTAACACTTATAGTAACTTTTACCCTCAAAATTCCATTCAAGTCACTAAGAGTACTTGGAAAAAAATTCTAATAAATCGAAAGATTATTGAGATTTTAACACCCTGTAGCTATGAAACAAAGCAGAATCGGACCTATATTGATATGAAATATAAGTCTTATTTTTACGTGAGGACAATCCCCACGAGAGATGGCACATGTTTTTTGAAACCCCTGTATATTATATAGTCACTTACCAATGAAAAATTATTTCATTATTTTTTTTGATTTTTTACCGAAATCTGCGGTACGTTAGACAACCAACTATTTTACAGTATTTTTCGATAAATCGCAATAGACTTCTGACTTAGAATTCTGACACAAAAAAATCCTTCTAGATTTACTACCTCTAATCCTCTAAACAACTACCAGTTGTAGAATAAATAATATAAAATATGCCCAGTAGAGACAAAGCAAGACAAACAAATCCACATTTTAAATCAAATTCAAATGAGTGAAATGAAACGTCAAACAGAACTGTCAAGGATTCCTACCCTAGGGCCGCACGTCCGTCCACCATGCATGAATACTTGGATAGAATTATTATAGCAGTAGCATAACTGTGTATTCAATATTACCTTACTTTTATTTGAAAAATGCTGTACATGCAATTGTCTATACTTCTTTATTAAGTCTTAAAAATTGTAAATTGCATTACAAGGACTCAAAGGTTGCCATTGTCTGGATAATAGAATAAAAGGTCTTCATTTAATCCGATTAGAATCAGTGCAGTACGCGGAATGATAAATATAGGCGGCTAATCTTAAGGAAACCTAAACAGCATTGTTTAAGCTGTTGTTTATGGCTTATTTCGCATACAAAGAGGATATAAATATTGTTAGGTGATGTTTACTATACCAAAATAAGTATAAACATTGCTGTATTGTGGTTGGAAAGATATAGCAAACTCGATTATTAGCTAGTTTATTAATAATATCTTTAGACTTAACAAATCATGTAACATAATAGAGATTTAAAATATTTATATTAAAAAAAATAGTGAATCAAATCAAAATCCTTGACAGTTATATAATACAGGGTGTCCCAATATTCCGTGGACATAGAACTAATACGTATTTTTTGGAATCAAAATAAGTTCATTGGACACAATTTACAAAAGTGCTTTGTTTGTCCTCTAGAGGGCATTAAACTTTAAAAACTAATTTTTTCAGTTACTTTAAGAATCGTTATTCTGATTTGAATAAGATGTTGGGTGCATAGCTGTAAACTCACAGAAAACTTAAGTCTTTTTTGATTTAAATCTGTTTAATAACTTGGCTACGTTAAATTGATTCTAGTCCTTACAAAAATGACTTGAAATAAAATGATTTAAGTCAAAGACTTACGACTTAAATCATTTGAACTTTATGTTGAATTTGATTTAAGACTTAAATAATTTTGGTTTTAGAAATGACTTAAGTTTTTTAAAACTGACTTGTTGCTGCTCTGGTTGGGTGTCTATATTTTGATAAGTGCTTTAACATTTGACTCCCAAAAATCAAGAAAAAATACGGAAAAGGTAAAAACCATAAAATAATTAACTAGAAAGAAGTGTATCTGTGTTAAATCGTCGAAACACGATACGCCACCGAAAGCCTTCGTTGTCGTCTGGAGAACTAATTTTCAATTGACAGGTTGACACGATGGCTTCATCTTTATTTCCGTTTCCGGTTATTCAATGGCGGGCACCTCTTTTAGTTTAAATGTATTTTGTACTCTTTCTTATCATAAATAAAACAAAATAAAAATTTATTCAAACATATTTATTTGAAATATGAGACAACCTGACTAAATAAATATAAAAAATAAAGAATTGAATGATTTTTATATCAATTACTTAATTATGTGCAGTTTTAACGTAAATTAGTAAGGTATAAGCATGACTTACAGCATAGAATAATATAGTTACCACACAGTTGTGGTAACTATATTATTCTATGCTTACAGTAATTGTAAATAAATACACGTATTCGCAGCTTTCAGAAACAGAAAACGGAGGCAGGAACATAAAAACGGGAGCCTTATACCAAACCAAACCAAACCTGAAAACAGAAAAATATAAATATACTATTTAAAAAAAGCTCCATTATTCCCAAAGAAACCTGTTTATAAATCCAAAAGAAGCAAAAAGAGACTTTTAATCGGATAAAAATCAGATTGTATCAGACAAATTTATTGTGTATTATTAACAATAAATCGCACATACTGGAGATAACTAATACTGGCTATAGTTTAAAATGATCTTACCTTTCTGTAAATTGTTTCCATTTTCAAAAAAATCGCCGATCATGAACATATAACAAAATTTTCTTCCTAATTTTCTTGCATTTAAAAAATATAGAAATAGTGTTTATTTACTACCTATTTTTAATATACATGGGACATACCTAGTACTGCAGAAACGTCTTTTTCTCCAGGATTTTTCATGTAATATATATTTTATATGCTTTATTACCTTTATATTTATAAATTTCAGCCGAAATATCAAATTGAATTTACAAAACAAAACTAAACGGAGAAAATGAAAATGGCGTCGAAATTTGTTCTAGAACAAATCTGTCATTTCTAAACTGTGAAGTTAGACAACAGTTAGACAGAAACATTGCTGTCCTTGTCTAGGCGGCCATACTTGTCGTCAGGAGATGACAGGAATGACACTAATGACTGTTTCCAATTTTCCTATTTCACTGTCACCCCCCTGGTAAAAACTACTCCCACCCCTATATACACCTATACCGGGTGTTGCATCGTCGAGCGGGACATAAATTTTAATGGGGTCAATTATTGGCTTCACTAATTATTTTAGAGAATAATTCTATTTAGGTTTATTGAAGAGCACTAAAACCCACATTCAAAAGAATAACATTAGATATTTTTGATAAGCTCGTTTACAAGTTATCGCCGATTTCTTTTTAAATATTTCTCCTTTCTTATGACCCTGTATTTACTTATGAGCACCAGTCAAGATAAAAGATAACTGTCAAATGAAATTGTCATTTCAGAAATTAACCTATTTAGTGCTTTATTATTATTGAAAACTCATTCCTACATCGGAAATCTTATAGATGTATTTATAAATACAAATTAATATGAATTAAAGTAAAATAAAGTAATCAATTACAAGGTTAATTATAGTATTATTACAATATTCAATAACTTATTAATTTAGGTACTATTAAATGACCTACCTATATTACAACCTAACCTATTTGTATACCTATATTACAACTGGTAGAATAAACATTGTCAATAAACCTATATTACAATAGACATTGTAATATAGGTAAACAATTGTATACCTATATTACAACCTAACCTAACCTAACTTAACCACCCCTATATAAATTTTAGTATTTATTATTATAATATTTTCCAACTTTACCGACGACAGATTTGCTTTTCCTAAAATGGACCCTTTAGTATTTACTACA